TTAAAGTTAAACTATTTATTTGGCACAGAAATGCTACTCAGCTTGTAGGGCAGAACATTGCTACTCTTTCAAGTTTGCCGATGGTCTGTGTACAACCAAGCTCTATGCTGGCAATGCTGTAAATGTCAGTCAAAATGTAGTTGCAGGATCATTTCTCTCATGCTACAATGAGTACTGTAAGTGTTTTGTCGTGTAAATTACCGCACATGCTTAGTATGTTATTATCAGTGCAAGAATTTCAGATCAGTTTTTTTTTAAATGTATCTATACATTCTACATTTTTTTCAAACTGATAAGTTAAATAGTTAAAAAGTTCTAGGCAATAGCAAAGCTATTGGATATTTGTATTTCAAAGCGATTGTATTAATACATTTTTTTAAAAGGACAACAGATTAAATTTAAAAGCAAACTTGACCTACTGTTGTAGTCTAAATGTAATATGTATGCTTTTATTCTTTTTTTTTACAATCGCATGATACTTTAGAGTTTGATCTAAAGTGGTTAAAGAAATGCAATTTTGAGTATTCTGGCTGAATGTGTTTAGAGACAATCGGAACATTTGTAGCCTGCGTAAGAAATATTTAAAAGATTACCAGATAAACTATTTCTTTTGTCTGTATCAAAAAATAATTTGTTTTGTATGCATTTAAAAATGTACTTTTTTTATGTAGCACAGTGCACTTTATATAGCGATGTAGATTCTTACATACCCCTCACTGACAAGGCTCACGAGGTAAATTTATGTGTTTTTGGACATATACACCTTCAAATTAATCTAGATGTTTAAGAACGTCATTTATAAATAATTATATCAGAAAACTGTAAAGTAACAAGAGAAAATATATATCTAATCATGTCGATTCATTTTGAATTTAGAATTAATTGATTTTCATTTCTATTTCGAGGTGTTATATTTTTAATTATTTACAACCAATATCCAATTATACTTAAATTTAAACTTATTTTCTACGCTTGCCTTATGGGTTTCAGTTTAAAATTTGTTAGGTAATGTTTGAACATCCTTTACTTCGCTTGCTTGTATTTGTTTTTTTTTTTGTTTTTTTTTCTAGTCCAGCCGTTCAATTCATTGATGGTGTCTTCTTCGTTCTTAATTATACTGCACGGGATATCCTCCTACATAATGACTCCTACTTCACCAAACTTTTCCTGTACCCGTCCGAAAACAATGTACTTTTTCCTTAAGCAACTATAAGCTTTACCGACAGGACCACGCCAACCCCAATAATAGTGTCTGACCAGAGAATACATAGAAATCTTCTTTGACAACTGTTGGTGAATGCCTGTACTTTCTCCGTGGTAGTTTAAGATAAACACCTCTCTGTTCCCTAAATCAATACAGGCATTATGGTAACTTTATGGTGGGGTCCATATATTTGTATGTTGAGGAAGGCAGCCTTAGCTTAATCTATCCTTTCTACGCATGGTACCTCCTACTAATTAAGACTTAATTTATAAAAGCATACATATTAATGTGGGGGGGGGGGGTGGAGTGGTCGGGCGGATAAGCTCATGTTCGCTAACTCGTACAATTTTGGGTTAAACATTCGGGCAGAGGAGACTCGTCATAATATATATATATATATATATATATATATATATATATATATATATATATATATATATATATATATATATATATATATATATATGTGTCTGTGTGTGTTTAAGAAAGCTCTACATATTCAGCTTTTTCATACATAAAAAAAAAAATCAAATGTCTTTCTCCTTCTTTATTTACCCATGTACGTATTGTCTTGAGTTATCTCTTCTCTAGTTGGGAATGATAATCTTAGCTTTACTATTGATTTAACTCTTCATCAATTGAGGATGTTTTTGCACTTCTCTTACAGGATTGTTTTTACTATTGCCGTGGAAATTACAATTGTATCGGCTATCACTACTACCCAAACCCTTTATGTATTATTACTTATCCGATTGGATCCAGTTTTGACATAAAGAACATTCCGGTGGACACATTTGTCTATCTTAAATGTGATAAATGTGAGTGTTATTGGTTCATGTTTTACCTGTCATAATATTAACTTATTTTGTTTTTAATATTTAAAAGTTCATTACCAACACTATTGATTAAATGATAAATATTATTTCAAGTGTAACGCCTTTTATAATTGTAAGCTTATGTTTTATAGGTTTCGAGAAAAATAAACTGATCTTAAATTAAAATTGTGTTTTACCACAGAAAACAGTTGGGGAAGACAGGTCTACACAGAAAGCAACAATGTACTGCTGGACACTCGACATTTGTCGAACAAACTGCTTAGACGACTTGTCTACATATTGGAAACAGTTGAATAAAGACTTGCATTCTGATCGTATTGTCCTCTTTTATTTTATTTTTTTAGTCAGTGATACACTTGAGACTGTAGAATCGTGTCAGAAATATGCAGGCGTGTGTTCTTAAAGAATCATGATTAATGTACAATGCAAAAATTACAGAATACACTATAAGTATGTTTAAGTAGACTTGTTGATATTTGTTTCCCGGCTTGTATGTGCAAGATAATCTGGGAAGAATATTCGGCTCTCTTTTGAATAACATTTTGTGAAGTAAGTCATGCATTTATAAGAAATGTTTCTTTAAAGACAGTTTTTAAATATATGTACCTATTATATAAAAATATATGCTCGCCATGATGAATACACATAAATCCTAATGAGTTGATAATTATATCAAAGAAATCAAATGATAACATCTTTAAACAGTCATAGAATCTTTTGGATTACAAATGTACAATTGTTAAAACTTTCGAATTTAAGAGTGCTCTGTCTAAACTATATTAGCATGATGTTGATTTACTTGTGTGACCCTCCATAGCAACACAGTCATTAGACACAGCTTTGGTGAATGACAGATTGGATGTCATTGTGTCTTTACTGAAGGATTGTCAAATACGCATACAAGTTTGTTTTAAAAGACAAAGCTTGGGTGACTGACAGATGGGTTGTCATAGTGTCTGTACTGCGAGTTGTCAAATAGGTATAAAAAGGTTGTTTTAACAGAAGTTTCTGGTTCCGTGTTAGTGGATGTTAGTTTTGTATGTATTGTTGTGTATATATTTAGGTGTTACATATTGGGTCGTCAGGCCATAGGTAGTGGTCGATGTGTGGTGTGTCGTGACAGCAATAATTGCTTTTGAATAAACTAACGCCACTGAACACAAGTTATTGTTTTATAAAGAAACATCAGCTGTATTCACACGTCTGTATACAAGAAAATGAAATGGGCATTATTTTAACAATATATTATTCTATGTTAAAACATTTAGAAAACATAACCTTTAAGGTTTCAAGTATGGATTTCAAGTTGTGAGAGTGTGAGTGTGTGAGTGTGAATTATTTTAGTGAGTCTGAGTGTGAATGCGAGTGTGAGTGTGTGAGTATCATTTTTAACGAGTGTGAGCGTGGACGTGGACGTGAGCACAAACACGAGTATGAGCATAAGTATGGTTGCGAGTATGTATGTTAGTGTGTGTGTGTGTGTGTTAGAAAGTAAATGAAAGTGTGAGTATGAGCGTTAGTGTGAGTGAGAGCGAATGTGAATATGAGTGCAAGTTTAAGCTTAATGGCATTTGCATGTGCATATAAGTCAGCGTGTCATAGACCACCGCATCCACTAGCATATTAATTTTAAAATAACTTGTTTTTTTTTTTCTCAACTTGAAAAAATCCAATCTTCATTACTGCGTTAACATTGTTTGAATTTCGCAACAGTGCAGATAATACAAATGATCTTAATTTTAAAAGATTTTAATGTGTTTCCGTTTTAAAAGCAGGAATTTGATTGCGAAAACTCTTCTTTTTTTCAAATTTCGGATACGGCTGGCTTATTGCGTTGAAATTTGTTAACACCTTTTTTTTTTTGGAATTTAATTTTGCTGAATATTGTCTCAGGCTTAGTGTTTTTCGTCTTTAACGTTTGTCGCAGATGTTAATTATCCCTCAAGTAAAATGGGGTTACTATTTAATTTTGCAAATGCTTTTCGTTAAGTTTACTAAGTATGTTTGTGGCATCACAAATCTCGGAATATTAATTTAACCCACTGTTTAAAGTCCGATTAAGCTAACACTTGCACAGTGAAAGTTCTTAGATGTTGAGGTTGTGTTGTGGCTGTGTTGTTTTTGTGTGTTTTGTGGTTGTGTTGTGGTTGTTTTTTGTTCATGTTTGTCTTCTGTTTTTGTTTGTTTTGTTCTGTTCCCAAGTTGGTACATTTAAAAAAGATTTACCGTGGCGGAGCACGGGTATGCAGCTAGTACATTATATTAGTTAAGTTATAAACTGTGTATTTTGTAAACTGCCTAGGCATTTGATGTGATGGCTGAATAGAGCTGAATGCAAAATAAACGTGTGTCGTGTTATCTTTAGGAATTCTACACGAAACAAAACAGGGAGCCAGTTAGTGCAATGTATTTAGTGTATTTATTAAATCTACATTTAAAACAATTATATCAACATTTTAATATATTATATATTTTTTATCAACATAAAAAAATCATGTTTGATTTTAATACATATTCTAAATATTGGCAAAATAAATGTTTGTAACCTGCACCATTATCACCATCTCCCACTGTGCCCAAGACACATTGGGAAAAAGAATTACCCTTATGAAGGATATTTTAGTGAGCACTTTGCCCATTCAACTCACGTTCTCTAACGAGAGTCAGGTACCCATAAGAGCTGAGCGAACTCACATAAGTCCTACAGACTCGATTCAGTGATCCGAACGCGAAACCTTCAGGTAAACCGTTGTGAACTTCACTATTATACCAGTCTAGTCCCTATAGTCTATATACCCAGCTTTTTACGGCGACAAATGGCAACAGTGTACTGCAGGTCTTGGCATTCCATTTGCTCTGGTCCAAGCTAAAAGTCGTGAAGGCTGCTCATTCTCTCCCACCGTGGTTAAAAGTAGGTTCACCTGGTTGTGTACATCAACGTTTTATTTAAAAAAAGGCAAGAGTATACTTACATGTAGTCTTTTACCCTCAAAATCATAAAAATGGATATTATATTAATAACGCAATTATTTCTAAAATTAAACTCCAAAACCATCTGTATCCTAAGCCTAAACATAGTGGAAACTAAATAACAACGACAATCTAAGGTTAGCTAAAAATTATTCAAAAAGCAATGTTAATTAGTAATTAGACATTGATTTTCACATGTTGTTTAATGAACAAGCTCTGAGTTTTAATTTTTCGTAATTTATCATTACGATGCCACATTACAGAATTAGATGTAATAAAAAAAACTGGACTATCTATCATTTATTTGTTTTAAATTTACATTGTTCACTGCTAATGTTTTTAAATATGTCCCTGTTCTTTACCTGTATTCCGTTTTGTGTAATCAACCAACGATGGCCTAACAATCCAACCCCAGACACCAAGGTACTCATAATCCACAAAACCAATCCACATTTTCGATGTTGAACACACGATCTTTCCTATATTTCCAGAACGAGTTGAATCTACGACTTATATTTATTAAATTGAAATTCAATACATGTCAAAGTTGTATACTAAGGAAAATACTTTACACTAGAGAACACGGTTTAGGAATCTTACAAAACTGTATACGAAATAATCCTAAAACTAGATACTTATATGATATGAAATTTATATTTATTTTTTTCTTTAATATTTCTTCATCTGTACAAGAAAAGTCTTAATTACAATATTAAAATCTACAATTATTTTTAAAAGCCTATTTTTGCTTTAAGCCTGCTTTTCAAAAGCAACCATTTAAGTTAGTTAAAACTAAATACTTTGAAAACTATTGACATGGGTGCATTTTACAAACACAAACCTTACAAAGAAGAATGTAAACAGTGAATAGTTGGGGGGGGGTGTAATAAACACCTTGTAAATCTAACATAAATTGAGCCGTACACCCTCTAGCGATGATGTGCGGACCTAAAAATGATATTGCATTAATTTCTAATATATAAACTTTCGCCTGGGATCTCAACTCAAGACTTTCAGGCTAGTGGTTCTACCAATACAACTAAAGTACATTTTACATCGTAAAATCACAATGGATTGTTGGCCTATAACCAACGCTATATAGAAGCACAAAAATTCTAGCGGCCTAGAATATTGCCGACAACACCGTGTGTTTCATTGTAGGAGAAAGAGGGCTCGGCTTTCACAATGGTATAAAAACAAAAGGGAAAAAGAATTTTTAAAAAGCGTGGGATGGTGTCTAAAGAATAAAGATAATCCAACCGCAGCTACAGTATTCTCTTCACAAAACAATCAACAAGTAAAAAATGCACGAAAATTATGTATTTTAAATTACAAAAAATTTAATGTCTGCTGTGGGACCCCTAAAAGCCCCCCCCCCCCCCCCCCCGCACGCATAGTGGGGATTGGAGGCGCTGTAATTCAGTCCCTGCCCTCCATCCTCATCAAATCCAAACCGCCTTCGCATAAACCTACGCAAATACTTTCACTGTAGCAAAACACATTGTTTTTCAGTATTTAAAATAAAATACAAATGTATGTATGGTCTTTTTGTTACAACCAACTCCAAACAAATATCTGTATGCTAATATAGTTCCTTTGTGCAAAACATTATTGCATTGTAAACTATTTGGGGGTTTGTTTTAAATGTACAATGCAGGTGGTGTATAGATGGCGTAACGAATTAAATATGTTTGGGGGGGGGGGCGGTGAAACAGAATGATTGAAAAAACCACAAAGCAAAAAATTAGTTTTTTTTAAATTTATACTGCACATGTTGCAGGCTAGAATAATGTATGCGTTTATTCAGCAAGTCAACACGAAAACGTTTCTGTGTTTCATCGATTGCTGTGTCGTTAACATTACAGGACAGTAAATTGATGTGTATGACATTTAAACCTATCTAACCACTACTCAAAATCGCAATATACTAGCCATTTCGTGTAGGCCTACGTTTATGGTTTGTTGTGTTTGGTAAGAATAGTATTAACCTACGAAAATAACTACGTAAAACATTACCAGAGGTTTTACGTCGTAATTAATAACACGTTGTTCAATTTCAATACGGACCATCCTAATATATAGAAGACCATGTGCGCACTTCTCTCTCTCTCTCTCTCTCTCTCTCTCTCTCTCTGTATCTCTCTTTCTGTCCGCAATATTTTTGGCAAAGTAATCAGTATGTTCGGCGATATATGGAGGACTTAAAGATCATCAATTTTGTTGAAAATAGTATGGCGGACGTTATAAATGTATAAACAAAATTTTCTTTAAAGAAGGAAAGTAAAAATAAAGGCATGCTCGAATGTAGAAACACATTTCTAACTAAAATGTGTATTGTCGTGACATGAACGCAAAAAATAATGACGTCACTTGTCAAAAAGGTTCAACTGCGGAAATAACACAAAAATAATGGCGTCAGCTTCCAATTTCAAAATATATAAAGAAATGAACTATTTCATTCAAATTCGATTTAGATCTACTTATCGAGAC